TTCTTGTTTGTTTTCACTTTAATGTTCTGCATGGTGATTGTTTCTGTTCCTGTACTTGATCTTTTCCCTGTTTAACATAGCAAAGACCAAATGCCTCTATGGAATGAATGCTGGGTAAAGTATTAGAAGCCATGAGCCAAATTTTGCTGAACTGAGGAGTTTCCACTGACAGTAGAACTGCAAGCACTGTTGTCCCAGTGCAATTAGAGCCTTTGTTGCTACTAAGGATGCTGGGCAAGGAAAAGATTCCAGTCTGGCTTTGGAGTTTCTTTGTTTTTGCATGAATTGGAAACCAACATAGCTCCTCCTCCTGCCCCAACTTCTTTTTTCCTTTGTGGAGTGGCATATGCGTGTCAAAGTCTGGTGGGAGCATCTTGGCGTCACTATGCAGAATAAAGCCACACAGTGTGAAAAATGGAAAGAACGAAGGATGTGAAATAGCTGTGAAAGGAATGAATCTGATCTGTAGACCTACTCTGAGCAAGAGGTACCATTAAGGCAACAGTTTGGAGGCACAGACTTGCCTATTACTAGCACTTTGAGTGGAGGAAAAAATATACTTGAGATTTTTTATGAAGGACGTAGATAGAGTCCATATAATTCTTTCTCTTGATGTCTGAGGGGACAGATAGAATTCTAAAGGGTCCATGGGTTTCAAGAAAAATGATGTTTGAACTATTTTGTATCTAAGAGAAGGGAATGGTAAATTATATAAATGCCCAAGCAGCACGGATGATTCTCTGTACACATCCAGCTACTCATGCTGTGTTACATTATGAGTGCTGGTTCCATATACTCATACATAATCCCTCTAATATGCTGTTATTTCTTTGGTCGTTGAAGTTTCCTCATAAATTCTTCTCTTTAAGCATACGTATACATATAAACATAGAGCATAACATACTTCTGTGGGCTAGGAACATCAGAGGCGAGTTGTATAAAAACCAAACCCCTGAATTTACCTTGCAGACAACGCTGCCATCTGGTGGTGCAAGCCCAAAACATCCAAATTCACGAGATTTTAATAAATAAATTAATTGTAAATGTAGCATCAAGTCCTGACTTTAGAAACCATGCTTCTGCTAAATAAGCAAGAATTTTGACATGAAAATCTTACACTAATAGTGTCTTGTCTTGATTTATTTCTGTAGATATTGAATTTAGGTTAGGTATTCTGTTACATGCATTTATGTTCATTTCAGTGTAACCTTTCTTACTGCGTATGGGTTAATAGTGTGTGTTTTAAGTTATGTGAACAGCCACTGAGAGGATTGACTGGATCTTGCCATTTTGAAACAAGGTTCAGGTACCTCTTTGGAAAGAACCTGCACAATTTATTTCCAAACTATGCTAATATGTTCCTGCATCAGCCGGTGAGTTAAAGTGTTATTGACTGGATGTATTTACTGGAGTCTGTTGTGCTGTGTTGCAGGTGAACTGATTAACCTTGCTATGTATTGTGAAAGAATAAGGAGGAAATTCTGGCCAGAGTGGCACCATGATGATGATAACACTCTGTATGAATCCGAAGAAAGCAGTGAAGCAAGCAAGACTCACTCCCCTTTGCAGGACTTCAGTTTTTATTCAAGGACAGAAACATTTGATGAGGAAGGGAACAGTATTTCTCATACCCCTGACACAGATTACACTGGACACTCGCTCTTTGATTCGGATGTGGACATGGATGACTACAGAGATCACGAACAATGCAAATGATGTGTACAAGCATCTCCCGTTTTGCAGACAAGCTGTTTCTTGGGACCAGTCTGATTTCTTTTCTGCTCCAGGCTGGGAGGAGGTCTGTACCACCTCCAAGAGACCATTGTGCTTGACTTGGCTGTCACATGTTGGACTGGACTGTCTCAATCTTATTTCATTTTGTGTAACTGTTCAGATGGAACCAAGGTAAACAGTTATTTAAAACACTCATGGGCAAACTGGAGGTCCAGAGGGCAATGGGACCATTCAATCTACATTTTTGCTCTCACTGAAAAACAAATCCCACAGCTGGGTGGGAGAAGCATCCAGGTGGCAGAGCACTTGTAAGAGCTGGTTTGTGTTGATATCTTCACGGGAATGGGTTGAGGACGAAAGTGGAAGAGGCATTACTGGCACACTTTTCTCCTGTGGAAGAAAATGATTGATGCTGTGTTGATTTGGTGAAGTTTTGGAAGAATTTTACTTGATAGCTACCTGCATGCTGGGTGTACATGTTGTCACAGTGTCTGAGGTGAGAATGGATGCATTGGGTTTGCCCACTTGTGCGAAGTTTAACATCTACACCTGTGTTGCTTGGCCTTGACCGGTTGATTTTAAGTGGAGAGAAAGCATATGGAAATTACAGATGGTTCTGTCTTTGTAAACATGTGTGTAAAATCAATTATTTGCCTGCAAACGTTGGCGGTAGCCTGTTGAAAGTAGTTTAATCAGGGCTTTCTCAGTGAATTACAGTTCCATGAATCAGGACCCTTCAGCAAAAAAAAAATAATATTAAATGTCTATTCTGGGAATAGACAGGATGCAAATGCTTTAGGATGCTAATTGTTGGTAGGCTTGGTAGTCTGGAGCCTGAACTAGCTCCAGCTTTCAAAGGACATGTTCCTTTCATGGGCTGTGGAGTTTTTCCATCAGAGGAAAATGCTTGCTGTGGGGAACACCCAGCTAGCTGTGGCTCTGCAAGTGGAGGGACAAGTCTGCAGTCACTTGCCATGCCTGGGAGCTGCTGCAGTTTGTCTGAGGTGTGCGTGAACTGGCATCTACTTCCTAAATTCCTCACACATTTCCCTGGGGCTCTGCTCCAGCCTCTGTTGTTGTGGGCAAGCAGCATTTGTGAAACAAACCCAAACTGAGGAGGACAATGGTATTAACTGATTACTTGGGACCCTTCTCAGGAAACTAAGCACAGGAACAGGTCACAAGAAGAAAAGTCTTGGGCTTGAAAGCACAAGGGGTGATGGTCTGATACATCTGTGAAACTTCCTAGATAAGTCAGGGCAGATGCTGCCTGCAAACAGTTAGGTACTGACGTTCTGGGTAACAGGCATCTATGTCAAGAAGCTCCTCTTTAAAAAACACTCATGGTGGAAATTCTGATAGAGATCCTCTCATTTATTTTGCTGTGAAGTGAGCTTTGAAGCTGTGTGTCTGAAGGCTATGCCTTCTCCATCTTTTCAGCCTGAGGAGAACGTGTTTCCAGGTATGGAGCCCCTGTGGATAGCAGATGAGTCCCAGCAACGAGTCCCCATTATTAAAACACCAGCCTGAGTTCAGCAGATGGTCTCATTGTTGTCATTTCCCTGGGCTGACAGATCTGCCAGTGGCAGTGATGCTTGTGACTTCCCAAAATGCAGCCAGCCAGAAGGCAGCGGTGTAATTTTACCTGTGTGTGTGTGTGCAGCTGGATTAGGGTATCACATGGCTGTGCATGGCAGCAGGCACAGGAATCAGCATCGCCACCGTGGTGTGAGGCTGGTGTCACATCGTGGTCTTCTCCCATGTCTGGAGGTCTTCCTGGGGGCTGGCCCAGAGCTTTGTTGCCAGAATTGCTCCTGCCAAGGATCTGGTGCTGCTGCAGAGCAGGGCATCACTCTCTCTCTATAATATAGATATATAATATCTGTTGTGTTCATGTTTCAGTGTGAAAAGGAGCGGTATGGTGAGAAATACTCTGGGATTAATCCTGCACAGGGGCTTGACTTCACCTTGGCAAGTGCGGCGAGGCACCGTGATGCAGAAGAGTGAAACAAGGAGAACAGATCTGATGGGGCTGGGGAAGGGGGAGGAACTTGTTGTCAGCTGAGATTTTTTTCAGTGTTTTAATCAGTTAGGTGAATGTATTCTGTAGCATGTCACTTGCCTTCCATTTCTTAGGAACTACTCAGGTTATTTTAAAGGAGAAGTTACTCACTAAGTAGCTTTTTCCTCATGACAGCTACTCCAGATACTATGTTTCTGTGCTTGGCCATGTTTCAAACTAGGGGTGAAATTAGGGAACAGCATCTCTGTAGGGATTTATACGTGTAGTGTTTTGACAAGGTCTGATAGGAAATCCTTGGGTGTGTGTATCCTGCCCAGAAGCAAATACTGACTTTTAGACCTGTTTAAAGGATTTAATCTAAGCCTTTTTCTTTTGGAAGCTTGTCTTGGCAAAATGTTTCCGGGGGGGAAAACTGTCTAAAAAAGAGCTTGCTTTAACACCTATGAAAGAGTTTAGTTCATTTTGGTTTGAATGGGGAAAGCATACAAGAGTTGTCTTCAACATAAACAGAATTTTTAAGCTTCCAAAATTCTGCAAAAAGAGCAACGTTTCAAACCTTAGGCCTGCAGTGTTGTTTTTACCCCTTGATCATTTCTATTTTTTATCTCCGTGCTGAGGGGCTGTGCAGAACTACAAATTGTCGGAGAGAATCATGGAATCACAGAATGTCCTGCGTTGGAAGGGACCCACGAGGATCACTGAGTCCAACCCCTGGCTCCACACAGGACCACCCAAAAACCAGGCCATGTGTCTGAGAGTGCTGTCCAAACACTTCTTGAACTCCTGCAGCTCAGTGCTGTGACCACTGCCCTGAGGAGCCTGTCCCAGTGCCCGACCACCCTCTGGGTGCAGAACCTTTCCCTAACCCCCAGCCTGACCCTCCCCTGTCCCAGCTCCATGCCGTTCCCTTGGGTTCTTACTTTTATTTATTTATTTGTTTGTTTGTTTTTCTTGCCCTCACTGTCCCTTGGTCAAAACTGCAAGCATCCCGGAGGTCCTGGCTGTGCTGCAGGGCAGGCAAGAAATCAGGTGTCACCGTAGTGGTGAAACCTGGGACAACCCTGTGAGGCTCGACGGCCTTTTCAAGCTGGGGGTGAAGGAGGCCACAGCGTCATGCCTGAGGTGATGCTGGGGACTCCCTGCAGGGCAGGGAGTTGGAGAGCATCACAGCCGCCAGCTCCAGACCTGGAGGAAGAGCTGGGGAGCTCTTGCTGCTGCTGTGGGGCAGCGTGGTTCTGCCCCCTTGTTTTAATTTAAACACTGCCAAAGGCCACGTATTGCACTTGTTTCCGTAGTGCTGCTCCAAGGCAATGGTAAGTGGGCTTCTCATTTGGCAAGCAGGAGGTTAAAGAACCCCCTGCGTTTCCAATATGGTTAAGTTTAAAACAGCCTGTTGTGGTTTTTTTTTTTTTCCCTTTCTTTTTTTTGTTTCTGCTGTGAATTGCAGTGTTTGGTTGTGTAACGCTTTGTCGTGTCAGGATGGATTTGTCTGTCAGTGTCGGCGTCGCTGGCTCTGTCAGCAGAGCTCACTGTTACTGAGTGGGGAAGCAGATGCTGGGATGTGTAGGTCCTACAGAAATCGTACAAATGTGGTGCTTGATTTAAAAACCAAACCGAACCTGATGTTTCAGATCTGGAGGACTGTTCGCATCCAATTATAACACTGCAAGTCACACGTTTTGATCTTTAAAACCTTGGCAGTGTCCCTCCAGATCTGTATTCTCTTTGAAAAAAATATTGCCTGAAATATTTCTGCAGCAATAGTTCAGGCACAAATTTCCTTTTGTCAGTGATGTCTGCTCAAGTAATCATGACAGCTTCATACTGTTTTCATTGAAAGGGTTGTATCTGTCAGATACTGAGCCGTACAAAATATTGCCTGCTGGAAAAGTGTGTTATGTGCAGATTTATGCAGGGCAGCTCGCAAGTGGAATTTCTGTGGCAGGGGATGAATTTGAGTGGGTCTTGCCCTTAGATGTTTGAAGAAGAATTTGAATCTTTTTTCTGACAAGTAGCTGTTTAGCCTAACCCCTCCATCTCCAAATACAACAAAATCACTGAATTAGGCTTATAATCAAAATAAATTATGCTCTGTGAGTGCAGAATCAGGGCGGACAGCCCAGTAGCTGGCACAGGGGGCTGGAGACACATAGCATAGGGGTGGGTCATGGCCATGCATGTTGGTGGCTGCGACCTGGAGGAACACCCAGGTAGCACAGTCTGGCCTTGTGTGGTCCAGGAGGACCAGAGGTACCCTTGGGTGACTGCAGTGGTTTTCAGCAGCTTATTGCTGCTCCCAGTCCACGTGTGTGCTGTGCTTCAGCTACTGGTTACTGCGAAGCTGAGTTTCAGGCTAGTGACCCTGCTCCTCACGGCTCTGCCTTAGCGGAGAGAAGTGTTGCAACACAAATCAGGCCTGTCTCAGCGATGCTCTCTTAGACATCCATCAGGGAGGGCTTCGCTTGCACGCCTTTGCTGCACGTGTCAAGGTGAAGAACTTCTTGGCGGAGATTTTCACAGTTCCCTGAGGTGTTTGGAGAAGAAATGGGATGTCTGTATGTACAGCATGGGAATCTTAATCGATAAAAACGTTCAGTGAGTCACTGCGGTGCTAAGCTGTAAGTACCACGTCCCGTTTGCCCAACTTGCAAATTTTTAAGGCCACATTATGAGCATTGAGTCTGACTCATGCATACAAAGGACTGTAGGATTTCCTCTAATGATTTCCACATTCAGCTCAGCAAACTAAAGCAGCAATAGAGTGTATGCTTCCTAAAAGCATTCAACTTCTACAGAACCAAATCCTGCCCCCTTGAAGTCACTGGCAGAAGCGTTGTTTGCTTCAGCAGGGCCAGAAATTTCCGACCAAGCTTCCAAGTGACCCAGAATTTTGCACTTCTCATTAATGGGACTGTTCCCTAGAGTAAGGCAGACAAGATGTGACCTTTGTATTTTGTTTAACTCTTTTACAAAAAAAGAAAAAGCTTTTTAAGCTTCACTGGGCACGAGGTTTGCGTGTGTTCTTCCCTCCCTTTTTAGTTCGTTCTTGTGACTGATCTTTCCTCGACTGTACAGGTTTTTATTTTCCAGAATACTTGAAGAATACAGGTCCCAAAGTTTTAACTTACAGGGTGTGCAATCCAGCAGGAATAAAGCACGGGTGGATGGGTATGGGGGGAGGGAGATACCCAGCTATACATGGTGTACAAGTTTTTCCTAACAAAATGAAGTATCACATTGCTAAATGAGGACTTTAATGCTGTAGCTGCATTATGTTATTTGTCTATGTACTTACATGAGAGATACATTATTTTAGCACTGTTATTACTACTAGTTTATAAAGCCATATTTAAAATTGTACACTTAATTGTAACATAACTTTAAATTGTGCACTGTGTTGAACCCTGTATATATATATATGAAAATCTGTATATTTTGTCTTTATGCCGTATGTCATTGGTGTGTAAATTATAAGTAACAGATCTAAAATACCTTTCTGGTTCGTGTCCTTCTTCTGAATGTCCCTTCTTTCTGCAGGCCCGTGAACTAACCAAGTGTTACTAACTTAAGTGTGAGAGTGGGGAGTCCCTGGAACTGTAATGGCCAGTGAGTTAAACCTCCACCTCACCAGGCAAATACCTCGGCCACTGCTGTGCTGTGAATTGGGTCACACTATCACTGTCTGTCTCTCCCTTCAACACTGCAGGAAGGATTTCCAGGGCAAGCTCAGGAAGGACTGCGCTTAACCATGGACAGGAGGAGGGGTCCCTGCTCCTCTCTGGGAACAATGCTACTGGTGTGAAAATAAATAATCCTCAGAGAGACTCCATGGGGGAAGCGCATGTACTTTAAGGTCTTTGCCCAAAGCAAGGGCTAGTTTCATTGTATGAAAATATTTTGGAAAAAAAATAGCATTTATAAGTCCTTAGCCAGACTTATCACATGGCCCTGAACACAGTGTAGGGATGACATGGCAGGAGACATAGTCTTGATAGAAGACATACAAGCAAACAGTGGGCAGGTGCACTCACACCTGCTTCATAATTGGTGACACTGATGTTGCAGGCATATACATTCACATTTAAAGAACAAACAAACAACACAAAGCCCTGATGGGTGTAAACCAGTGTAGAGCTGATGTTTCTCCTTTCCCGTGGGGAAGTGTGGGGTGTGGTAGCCCTTCTGCTCCAGAGAGGGATGCTGGACCGGGTTCTGCTGCTGGTGTTGTGGGTTAAGAAGCTATGGGGAACCCTGCCAGCACTGAGCTTGGCCCTCGGGGTGGCTTTTGCAGGCCCTGCTGTCACATCCTGCTGCCAGAGATTCATCCCAGTGAGGGTTGGGGCAGCACTGCCTGAGGGATGGGAGAAAAGAAGGGCGGGATGCATTGACTAGTTACGCAGCTTTGTGTTGTGAGACCAGAGACGAGAACAGACAAGTGAACTTCACCCAGCTGAACAATTGACAAATCAGGCCCAGCCCTTCCCTTCTGAACATATATTTTAGCTCCTCTCATTGTGTTGCAGTTTTATGGCCCGTGAAGTGCGTGTTCATAGACTTCTCCATGAACACTAGCAATGTCTGTGTATTTAATAAACACTGAGGTAAAAAACATGCATAGGTTGAAATACAGGACTTCAGTCATTCCATATTTCAAGCTCAGAAGAGCTGGCAGCCAAAACTGAGCCCTTCCAAGGAAACAGCTCTCTCAGTTCCAGTGAACTGTGTTGTTGAAATGCTTTCAAACTATTATGCCTGAACCTCCAAAACTTTAAATTATGGCATTGGAGAAATGTTCTGGATGATAATTCACAGAGGGTTGGTTGCTCTTTTGAATAGTTAACTAAGAAAAAAAAAGATCGTGATAAAGCAGCTTTGTGAGTTCCCATATATCAGCCATTTCACAGTCACTGGCCCGTTGTGATCTCCAGCTAAGGATGTTAGCTTAAACCTCAGTAAAAGAGATTTAAGCTAATGCCTTTTACCTTATGGTAGGTCTGGGCTTTGAGTACATGTGCAGCTGCTTTCTGCAGTCTTGCTGACAGAAACTCCTTAAATCATAGTAACTGGTGGCAAGCCTGATCCTTTTCAGACAGCACTTCTGGACATGGGAGGGCACCTGTGTTATTCACGTGAGGCAATGGAGGCTGGTGGTCCAGGAGTGCCCCAGGATGAAAGTGCCCCAGGACAGCACCTGTAAGGGGAACCCTATGGTGAAATTCCCCTAACAGTTGTTTAGCCACCAGCCAGGCACTGGGTGGGAACATCCCTTGTTTTCCAGTGAAGTCGTGACCCAAGGGACGCTTGAGACTAGGAGCAGCACCTGGAGCCCAGACGGGGTGGTTTTACTCAGCTAAGCAACTATCACTAGCAGACTACAACAGTAAAAAAACACAAGCAAACACCTTCTGCCCATCCATACTCTTCCAACTCCTCCTCCCAAGCAGCACAGGGGAACAGGGAATGGGGGCTGTGGTCAGTCTATAGCACTTAATCTCTTCCACTCCTTCACAGTCACTCTCTGCCCCTACTCCATGTGGGGTCCCTCCCATGGGATGCCATCCTTCCTGAACTGCTCCCACACGGCTCCATACCATGGGGTCCATCCCCCACGGGTGGGCGACAGCTCCACCCAGACCCCTGCTGCTGCGTGGGCTCCTCTCCACAGGCTGCAGCTCCAGCCCGGGGCCTGCTCCTGTGGGGGCTCTCCGTGGGCCGCAGCCTCCTCCAGGCCACAACCACCTGCTCCACCGGGGGCTCCTCCACCCATGGGGGGGCTGCAGCGTGGAGATCTGCTCCGTGTGGGACCCATTGGCTGCAGGGGGACAGCCTGCTCCACCAGGGGCCTCTCCCTGCACAGGCCGCAGGGGAACTGCTGCTGCCTGCCTGGAGCACCTCCTGCTGCACTGACCTTGGGGTCTGCAGGGCTGGTGCTCACTCTTCTCTTCCAGCTGCTGTTGTGCAGCAGTTTTTTTTTTTTTTCTCCTCTTTCTTAGATATGTTCTCACAAAGGTGCAAACAACATCACGTATTGGCTCAGCTCTGGCCAGCAGTGGGTCCCTTTGGAGCTGAGCCTTATCTAACATGGGGCAGCTTCTGGACTCTTTTCACAGATGAAAAAGAGTCCTTGCAGCCCCCCACTACCAAAACTTTGACACATAAACCCAATACACCAGCCAGTCCATTTTTGATGTCCTAGAATAATGGCTAAACACCTTTAGTTTAGGCAACTAAATCCCACCCTAGATAACCACTTTAAAAGAAAACAGCAAAGAGTGATGGTTGTGTCACTGGTAAGATTCAATATCTATATCATGGTAGGACCCAGATAATATGATCTGGGTGAGTCCTTGCACACAATGTACTTCACAAGCTCAGGGAGAGTCTTAGCTTCTGTAGCATGAGGTTTACAATTCAAGAAAAAAGGTGATGGAAAAAGCATGAGGAGAAAGACAGCCAAGAGGCTCTTGTTTCAAAATTTTGCCCTAAATTTGTCCACATACATTTAATGTTACAGTAAGCCATTACTAGGCCACTCTAGATGGCTTCCTTGGAGTAGATCTCCATGGATTCCAGCAAGTGGTTAATGCAGCTGAGGGGCTCCTCAGCTGAGCAGAAGAAAAAGTCTGCTCTCAAGTGAGCTGAACCCCTCCTGCTCCAGACTGTATGGCCAAAATCTCCATGGATGATAACAGCAGCCAAACATTCAGCCCATGAATATACCCTACAATCAAACATTGAAATTAACACCTCTAAATCTCAGCCTGAATCCCACCCTAAAAATGTCTGTCATAACCTGGAACCTCAGCCAACACATCTATTTTGATACTTTTTCTGGGTAATGATGCACCATTGCAGACAGGAGAAACTCAAAAAAACTTCAGGCTGCAATGTCTAGCACTTGACAGTTAAGTTAAATTGCCCATATAGTTTTAATGTCACCTCTTTTTGCATAAGAATTGAGTTGCAGATTTCAGTTCTTAATCTCTTACTATTTTTTTTCCTTAAGACCTCTGCCTCATCTGGTGCATGGGGTAGAGACTTGTGAATTAATAATGAGCTGTTGGTTGTTTCATTTGAAGTGTGACCCCCGAGCCTTATTTACTGCACAGTATTCAAGCCCTACAATGGAAACAGAATGACTAATTTCCTCATGAGCTTTTTCTGTGGCAGTCATTACCATGGTTTCTGGGTGCTTCAAAAATATTAACAAGTTTATTTTCACAACATTTCTGTCAAGATGCAGTAATAGGCAAGACTAGAAAGATAGCATTGTTAAGAACCTTGAAACTAAGTACAAGAAACTGGAATGTGATACAGAAAGAGCCAGGAGATGGGCTCAAAGAAAGGAAAGATATAAACAAGCAATAGGCAGCAAAGACATTCTTAGCAGATCCACTTTATGTGGGTTAGAGGGTCTTAGAGAAGTGTTGATTACTATAGGCTGGGAGATGAGGGTCTGAAATACTGCTTTGTTTGTCAAAATAGAAAGGAAGGGATTTAAAGGAGAAACATGATGCAGAAGTAGTAAGAAGGAATCTTGGAAAGAGGAATCATGGGCTGTCACCAGACAGAGGCCCTCTTTTGGTCTTTCACAGACCACTCCTTAGAGACAAGAGGGAAAGGAGCTTAATTTACTCTGTCCAGGCACGAAGACTTGAAGGCCATGCTTTGCCATCATTTTGAAGACAGCATTTGTTTGTGAGCCACCTGAAGCACAGTTATTATCTAATAAGAAGCTTTGATTTGTCAAAGGGCGAGACATAGACTACTATGCTGAATACATCTATGCATACAGAAATTGCCATAATTTCACATAAAGGGACTCACTGTGACAAAGAAATCTATAATTATTTAGTGGGTAATCTTTACTGTATGCTAACACAGCTCTTGTCATCGTGGCTTCTCAGCACCCCTCTTAATGTGTCAATACACGATCTCAGGAATAAACAGCAAAGTAGGGAAATGATTGCTCCCAGGAGGATCAGAAGTGCTGGCAGGAGAAACTTGAGGGATAAGTGGCTGAGATTAGGAAAAGCCACCCTCAACACCAGCCCCTCTTTGCTCCCAACTGTATTTTTCATCCTGTAACTGAAGAGCATCAGGGATTCATTGCCACACTACGATTTGCAACAGGAAAATAGAAAGGTTTTGATGAGGAAAGTGTCATTATGAAAGGAGTTGGCTCCCAAATATGTGCATCTTCTACTCCTAAAATCATTGTGAATTTGTACTTCCTTTCTACTGAACTATTGTGCAAGTTGTGAACAGCTACTGCTTTTCCTCTTACAGTTCTAGAAAACTCTGTTGCACATTTTAAAGGTGAGGTGCATCTGATCTGTTCTGTAGGTGCATCTGTTTTCTCAGGCTTAGTACCATACAAATAGTAAATATTCTCCAAGCTGTCTTCTCCAAGTCACTCTCATTCTCTGTTAGCACATTCCCTGTTATTCCCATAAAAATAATTCAAAAAAACATATTTACTTTAATGTATGTGTAATAACAAATGTGAGTTGGGAAGTACAAGGATTTCATTGTAGCCCATAATCAACTACCAAAAACCTGTATGTTACCAAAGGATTGTAGGAGTTTGAGGATGTTATGAGGACTTTCTAGCTGCTATAACTATTGTTTATTAATAAGTTTTCTTTCTGCTATGAGGCCAAAAACAAATCTTAACCAAAGGGGAAAAAAGCTACTAAATCTGATCTATCATTTATATAGCTGTGTATAATTCTGCAACCTACTCAGGGAATCGGAATGGATAGCTTTCTTTTTGAAGTCTGCTTAATGAAATGGTTCACAATGCCAAATGCCTTATATAAGTCATTAAAAAAGCCTTCAGTCTTTTATTGAAAGCTATGAAAATATTAGTATGTTTACAATGAGCCTGAAGAGAAACAAGAATACTTAATATAACTGCTAGCTAATCTCTCCACATTTTTGGAGCTGGCTAACAAGATGGATAAAAGTCAAGTTCTTAGTAATGTTTTACTTTGCCTATTATTGTGTATTTTTAAATCCATACATAGATTTCAGAGAGGTTTGGAAACATGCATCACCTGAGCAGGCAGCATTAGGAAAACGTCAGAAAGAACCTTACATGTAATGTATGCTGATAAATAGCCATGGCTAATGGGGAAAAAAAACAAGCAAATATTTAAAGAAATGGGGTAAAACAGGTGCTAATGACAGGAGGATACAGAAGACAAGCAATCATTTTACAAACGCAGACCTAATGGTTTTTAGGTGAAATTTTAAAATCCTACCTAGCAATGAGCTCATCTTTCTGTGTAGTGAGGGTGATTTAACACTGCTTACCAGAACTCACCTGCAGAGATGCAGGACTTGGAGGTTTTCCAGGAGATGAGGTCTCTCTCAAGGTACCTTTAGGAGGCCCCACAAGAAATGGCTAGCAGTGTTTCACATGCTTCTTCCCTTCCTCCATGGACAGGGCATTGTCCTCAACACACTCACTGCATGCAGCTCTGCAATTAGTCAACTGCTACTAGCAAATCCCAGTCCTCCAGGCCTTTAGCAGTTACCTTATAGGCACTGGGAAACAGTTTCCTCACTAGGAGCAATGGATGAGGTTTATTAGCAGTTTTCCCCCCTGTCTCTACAGAGGCAGAGCAAAGATGACTTTCAGCTGGAGATGAGGCCTCCTCCCTCACTATCATCATTTGGGAATAACCTCCAGCTGAGTTACCTGCAACTGCAGGAGCCTCTGACACTAATGAAGTCTCAGCCCCCCATATTGATATTTTTTTCTATTTTATTTTGGGATGTGGGGATAGTTGAGGTCCAAAGATGTCTATCTCCTTCACATTTAACCTTATGCCACCCAACAAAAGAGATCTAGTGGCTATAGCAGGCAGGTTCCCATTCACAAAGTTTGTAATAAGCAGATTGCTCTATCACAATGATGATTGTGTCAGTCTCTTAAAAGGGATGATAAAAAGGCTAGGTAGATTTGGTGATAAACTTTTACTAGTCTAAAAACAGGCTCCTAGGTTTGCTGATGTCTTTGAAGGTATCAGAATGGTTTCTAAGAGATGATCTTGAAGCTGAGCATTTTCTGTCCTAGTAAGGTAAGAAACTTTAGGATTTGCTGCTGTTGTTTGTGGTTTCTCTTTAGCACACAAATTCTGTGACAACTTCTACCTGCACAGCCATAAGTAAGAACTTGCCACATGGGTCATTCACCTTCTGAAACAAACAGTTTCTCAGCTCTGCAGACAATTTTGTATTCTACTGTAATCTGGTGACTGAGGAGGTGTGTTGAGGGAGAGGAAATTGTAGTAAGGAAGGTAATGATAAATAAAATACTCAGAATTCAGGTTAAACTTGTTTATAAGGCCATACTTTGTATGGCTGTGATTACAAACATCTATGATTGAATTTCATGGGTACCAAAACATGTCTGGAATGACTCAGAGACGATACAAGTCATATAAATTACATGTAAATGTAGGCTAGAGTCCTTCCCTGCAGCCTGCTTGATGGTGCCCTTTGGGGCAGCCTTTCAGCACACACTATGCCACTTCACAAGCAAAAAGATGTTGAAGCAGAGAGAGTCATCTTGCAGCATTTCTGCTTGCAAATCTTGCTTTCCTTTTCTGTTCAAATTAAAGACAGAAAAAATACTGAATATATATATATATATATATAGTATTTTTTCTGTCTTTATTTTTTTTTTCTGTCTTATATATATATATATATATATTTAGGGAAATGTGTTGTTTCATTGGGGCAGCTCTGGCTAGAATACCAGCCTCACACCAGGTCTCTTATCTGATTCCCCGCTGGAAGGTGCCAGGGCCAGTTATTAATTGCACATCCCCACAGTTCTGCACTGGGGTTAAAAAGACAACTTAGGCGTCAATCACCCTGATTTTGATCTGGTATAACAATGCCTCGAATAAGGAAAGACCCAGCAAAGCCCTGGTTTAGCTGGTTTTTCATTCTCACTCTGAGTGTAATCTCTGTCGAACAGAAGTGCCATTTTTAACTGTAATCTAAGCCGTGTTGGCATCGAGGGTAGATCATGTCATCAGGCCACTGCAAACATAAGCAAACGAGTCCTTGTTAGGTAAGTAAATATTTTCTCTGTTTGACACATGAATGAAGCCAAACAGATATGAGTGATTGACGGACACCAGAGATGTCAGACCCCTTGGATGCCCCCCACCTGGCCTAGTTCAGTCAGCATTTTGCTCCATATGTATCCACAATATAATAATAATTATTTTTTTTTGTTTATCCAAACCTTTAAATGAGAGAATGATGGTTTTAATTTAAAGTGCTGTTCCTTCCCCTCCTTTAACCTCTTCATCTTAAATGGGGTACAGACAACCAATTTAATGTGTGAGCCAAGTGAATCATGCCACCAGCTTTCAGCCGTGCAATTATATCATCTAATGCAGTTACACCATGTTTCTTAAACACCTAGTGCTCCCTACACTGTACTTCATCCCTTAGCAGTCGTATATGAGGAAGCAGACACTAATTATTTTACAAAACTTCTTTGTGAAGGACTGGTGTAGGGTTTGTATCTTATTTGCCTTCCTTCTGCTTTTGCAGCTCACCCTCCCCCTGGTTGATCTGAGGCGTCTCCAGCAGAAACTCCTGCTCGCTCTGATGTACATCGTCCTGGTCCTACAGGCTGCCGTCTCACTAAGAGAGCTCCAACAACGAACATTTCAACCAAAAATGTTCCTGCTTTCTCTGCCTGGGAAGACTGAAAGAGGCCCTGAAGAGATCCAGAAGAAGCTGCAAAAAGAACCCTGATACCTTTCTTTAAGGGGTTGGATATGTGGTACTCATATTGCTTTTAATTATGTATTGTGACTAGGTGACAGATAAGAAATCATAGAAACATAGAGTGGCTTGGGTTGGAAGGGACCTTACAAACCATCTAAGTACAATTTTCCTGCCACAGACAGGGACACCTCCCATCTGACCAGGTTGCTTAAAGCCCCATCCAGCCTGGCCTTCAACACCTCCAGGGATGGGGCATCCACAGCTTCTCTAGGCAACCTGTGCTAAGGCCTCACCACCTTTTGAGTGAAGAGTTTTTTCTTTATATCTAGTCTAAACCTCCACTCTTTTAGTTTAAAACCATTCCTCCTTGTCCTATCCCTACACTCCCTGGCAGAGTCCCTCCCCAACTTTCCTGTAGGCCCCCTTTAGGCACTGGAAGGCCGCTATAAGGTCTCCCTGGAGCCTTCTCTTCTCCAGGCTGAACAACCCCAACTCCCTCAGCTTCTCAGCCTGTTTTTATAGGAGAGGTGCTCCAGCCTTCTGATCATCCTCATGGCCCTCCTCTGGACTTCGTCAAATATGTCCATGTCCTTTTTGTGCTGGGGGTCCCAGAGCTGAATGCAGGACTCCAGGTGGGGTCTCACAAGAGCAGAGCAGAGCAGAGGGGGACCTCCCTTGCCCACGCAGCGTTTGATGCAGCCCAGGATACATTTGGCTTTCTGAGTTGCAGGCACACATTGCCAACTCATGTTGAGCTTCTCATCAACCAACACCCCTGACTCCTTCTCCTCAGGGCTGCTCTCAATCCATTCTCCACCTAGCTTGGGATCGCCCCAGCCCAGGTCCAGGGCCTTGCACTTGGCCTTGTTGAACCTAACGAGGTTTGCAAAGCCCCACCTCTCAGCCCTGTCCAGGTCCCTCTGGATGGCATCCCTTCCCTCCAGCATGTTGACCACACCACACAGCTTGGTGTTGTTGTTAGACTTGCTGAGGATGCACTCAATCCCACTGTCCATGTGAATGACAAAGTCAAACAGTGCTGGTCCCAGTACTGACCAAGGCCAGTAGTAGCTTACCATGCTGTGTGCCTGCCCTGCTGGGTTTGGCAGGGTGGTTGTGGTGGGTTTGGGCAGCACAGGACATCCCTTCAGCAGGTTCCCCTGCCACTGCATGGGGCAGCTGCCTGCAGCCTTGGGCAGCAGGGCCATCCATGGAAGAGAGGCCAGCCCTTAGTTTTCACCATTGCACTGATCCCCTCCTTTATTCAACCTTTGGCACTTGCCTTTTTGGTGGCACATCTTTTCATTATTGGTTTGAAAGCAGGATGCACCTGTATTGTGTTGGCTGTGTGGCAGAAATTTAGCAATCTGTAGATTGATGATTGGCAAAAGTGGGAAAGAACTCAAGTGAACACCAGAAATTCTTAAAAATGTATTGACTTTTTGATTGAAGATTGTTCAATGTCACCTCAGTCTTATATGCACTGACAGAAAATACACCACATGCCCAAAATACTGTTGAATCAAACCAGCAGTTCCAATCCTACCCCTTTGGCAATGGCATGGGAAAATGAATAAGACTTTGCAATCCTAGCTGTGCCTAATCCAGTAAATTTTCAGACTGTCATGTTATATTAAGGAAAAATACAAGGTTAACCTCAGAGACTAATGCTATTATATCAAAGGTTTATAGCGGTTATTATTTTTTTCATAAGAACGCAATAAAATTGTAGAGAAGTATTAATACAATGAATTCTCCCACGGTTTTTAAATTATACAGTTGGTATACAGTCTGTTTATTTTAATTAATAAACATTATTTAAGTTAGAAATGATCTTTCAGCCAACAGCCGAGCATGAAGTGCTGGGGAAAGACAACCTACTAATTGGTAAATTCAGATGAGGCCTTTTATCTGAAACCGTGTTTTGCAGGTGCTTCACACACAGCCACAGGAGGGCAGTAGATGACCTGAATATATTTTTTTCCTTCTAGTTTTTATCTGTTCTTTAATCGTTTCGTTTCCCTTCCAGTGAGCTCCTATCTTGTCAAGAAATAAAAATTTGACGCTGATGCGAGAAAGGGGATTTGATTTTCATTTCCCTCTGCGGGTTTGGCACATTTTCTTCATATTCTTGTTAGTTCAGCTTATCATCAGTGTGTGGAGAGTATGTGATACCATCCCTTGTACTGCAAACAGGGCAAGAGGGGAGCCAGGGGGAAAACCTGTTTGTACAACTTCCATGTTTACACAACTTTCAAGGTCAGGACTTCTTCCCAAGAAAAATCTAATAGAGAGCCCACAAATAGTTTATTGGTTATCTGCAGGGTTCACAAGTTGTCCTAGGTGCACTCTGAATTCTTCCTTCTTTATTTAAAGACCTGACTCACATTCGGCACAGGTTTCAGTCAACAAACAGCTTAATAAAAACCATGGCTGTAGACCCTCCTGTGACATGAAGATTTGCTAATGGGCTACTGCATCTTTTTGTTGCTTAAACTAGCAATGAGCAAAAGCTGCAATTATTATCAGAATTAAATATTACTGGTACAAACAAATGAAAATAGGTCTCCTTGTGGTCATTCTTTGTGTACAGAGGGTCTCTGTGGTGGACAGGAGACAACTAAAAATGTCAGGAGAGGCTCTCCTGACTGACCCTGTATCCCTACCAGACATAAAGAAGTTAGCAAATACTCAAGATCAGAGGAAGCCCAGTCTGGTAGTGAGCAGAAACAGCCACATCCTGGACAGACAAACACTCCTTAGAGACCAGATACGGGTTTTACAGTTCACAGCAGAAGCAATGTTTGAAATATTTGGAGCAAGTTAGCG